AACTTTCTTGGGATCATCGTCGTCGTCTTCGTCGGCTTCGTCGCCTTGCTGACGTCTAGCGGCTTCTTCGTGCATCCGGTTCTTCTTCTTCCAGTCCTCGTACCTTCCGGATTTGTAGCTGGCTTTGATCCACCGACCGTCTTCCGTCTTGATCCTCTTGTCCTTGCCCTCCTGTAAATACGAGAAGGGATCCGTGATGAACGTCTCGTACACCAAATGCAATTTAGTTAATAAAATTACGAAAGAATACTCATTCACTGGGCTTGAGGTCGCGAAAAATACATGAAAACTTTGGAACCTTCGCAAAATTAAACTGAAATACTTCTACTGTATAATAAATGTACAATGAAACATACAATATTTGATAACATGCTTCAAATTTTCAAATGCTTAACCCGCAAAAAAAAGCCATTTGATCCCTGTGAAAAATTACAGAATAAATAAAAATAACTTCAAACAAAAACTAATAAACATCACGAAATTCAATTTATTTTGGGAAATAAATTCAGAAATTTCAAATTTTAAAATATTTGAATTTGAATGCAATCGGACAGAAATTTTTTTTTGCACCTATTTTAGCTCCCAGTTTGACCAGAGACTAAATCCTGTTCAGTCAACCCTCAATTTAGTGCCATAAATTTTCCTCAAACAAATCTGACTACATTGTGGTCTTAACTCTTAAGGAAACCCCAATTTAGGACCAACTTGCCATGTACCACCAAAAAATTCCTGACAAAACGCCACAACTGGTGACTACCAGTACTCCTTCAACAAGTAACCAGCTTTGATCATAATTTTTTTATTATCTTCATAATTTGTATCACCACTCATAGAAATATCAATTTCTTGGATACTAATACTATACCGCAAATTTTTCCAATCCCCAGATGTGGCTCGGCACCCCAGCTCCTCATTGGATTACTGTATAAGATTTATTACTGAAAATCAATTGACCATGCTCACATAAAATTGGGATAATTTTAAACACTCCATTTCTGAATTTATATCGTTGAAAACGATTTTTGTCTTGTCTCCATTGAAGTTGGCATCTTGCCAACTAAGCCAAACTCAATTTTATACCTGTACAACTCAACAAAAAAGGCCCCACCTTTAAATACAAAAAAAGCTCAAATCTCATTGCATTATTTAATTTGGAAAGACATATTCTTGAAAAAAATCAGCGATTTTCGCCGGCGTACAGGCCAAATTTTCTTCAAAAAAGATTCGGCCTTCCATTTTTCTTCCACCATTGCAATTCTAATGCGAAATCTAACACATTCACTAATCTTCCTGAAGCAAGAAAGAAATATACTGTACTCACGCGTCCCTTGTCCCCGACGAACCGCTTTCGCTTCCTGTCCCACTTTTTCCCTGTCTGCTGGGCCCGCAAACCCCCGT